AATCCACTGAAGGCAGTTTTCTTTTCAGAAGTTGCTGAGGGCGTAATTTGGCTTTTTCAGTTTGAGGGTGGGCTGTTTAACCTGAGCAAGTTCTAGCTTGCTCAATTATAATTTAACAATATATTCTCCCCATACTTTGTGTTACTCCCAAGAGATGCTTGCATCTCCTTGATGCATGAAAGGATACCTGTATTTAATGTACATATTAAATACGCCTGTAAATTCTCACATAATTTTACATTTAAAAGTACTATTTGAGGTGTGTGTGTGTATATAATTGTTAGATGCATGTATAGAAATAAAACAGTCTTTGCTCTTCCCTTTTGTACCTCCTCAAGACATGTAATCTACAAAGCAGGAGAATTGCATGATAAAATGTGCCAGAGTGGAATGCATAATTATTCCAGAGGAGGGTAAGTCAGTTCAGAACTTGTACTAACATTCTTAAGGGCAGCAGGAGTCTTCTTGCCATGAAATTACATCAGCTCTGTATGCCTCAAAGTCAGTGCACATGCTTTCCCTTTCTAGTAAAAAAAAAAAAAAAAAAAAAAAGTGTGAAAAAAGCCAGTGTCTTCAAAAATGTGCTGTAAAACAAAGCTGAGTAGATGTGTATATATTGTAATACAATGATCTCCTGTAAGTGACCTTGAGTTTAAGGCTAGAAGAGATGGAGAGAGACATTGTACATAAAAAAAATTAATTTCACTTTTTAATAGATTAAGTCATGGCTTGCAAACAGACAGAAAACATCTAAATAAGAAAAAGAATGCTTCCTTGATCCCAGTTCAGAGACATTCCCATAACAGGTGGGGCAGAGGCATTTAAATTGCAGGTCTCCTCTGTATACCCAAATCTGTTACAATTCCATCAAGCAATGAGAAAAGATGTCTTTACAGTAACTAGGAGTGGATGTAGCTAGCAACACCCATTTTCAAGATCATTAAAAGACAGATGTTTGGTTGGGATTGTGTACTAACAGTGTTTGAGGTATATGGAAACACAACCCAATTTCCTAGGAATCTTAAGATGAATCATGCAGCTCTTATTGCTAATTAATATACTTAAATTGTCACCAAGATGGTTAACTAATGCAGTCCATCACAGTTCTGATCTACTGTTATTTCTGTGTAGTAATTAGGCCTGGCTCAGCCAGTGGACAAAGAGTAACTAATCTCCATTCCCCAGTGAGAAGAGGGGAGGAAAGGCACATTCCCTATATCTTAAGCTATAATATGTAGCACTTAGAGCTGATTGTTGATCTACAACGTGAGACAGATCTCACAAAGACTGCATCTGACATTGCATCTTGGCAGTAGGGTTTGTTCACAGACTAACTTTAGTGGCAGACTCTCTAGCAGCATGCCACACTTATTAATACACAAGGAACACGTGGTCTCAAATTCTACATGACTGAAAGAAATGTACAGGTGAGAAAAACATGCCTAAAGATATATTTATATTTATGACACTATTATTAATAGATTACAAAGAAAGAAAAATATGCAAAAAAAACCCAACCCACCAGGCTATAGGAGTTTGGTTGGAACTAGCCAGAACAGTTAAGTACTCAGCAATGATAGATGCAGTCAGGATAGCAATCTACTGTTTAAAGGGCTTAAAACTTACATAATCATCAGTTTGAGATCTACACTCTATCTCCAGTTAGAGCACATTTGGCAAGTCAGGATTATGGCATTCTGCAAACATATAACGAAAGGATGCATTCACCCTCTTTCCATGTTAAAACTTCTCATGACCTTGAATGAAGAGTCACGTTATGAATGAAGCAGCAACATGCTCACATTTTTTTGCAACGACTGGGAATGAGAGAAATATTCTTTTGTTGCATTGACATCCCCTTCTAATTAACTGGGAAACAAACATTTGCCCAGTAGATCCTTTTCTCCAAAGCAAAGGAGACTTAAATGGGAGAATTTTATCTGAAGTATCTGAAGGAAAAGCATTCACTCTTCCTAGTTTATTTTAGAAGCAGAAATCTAATTTCCTAATGAGCCATGCTAATTCTTTTGTTCTGAACTACGGTAGAACAGAAAACATACTTCAGATTTCATAACAGCCTCAAAGTGGGACATGGCATACTAATGAAGCATAACTCTTGTTAATGTGCCTAATGCTTCTTCATTACTTCAGTTATCCTGTAGTTAAAATTACACTGTTAAATCCCTTCCATTAAGTCCCTATACTAGATTATCTCAGGGAAAAAAAAAAAAGAAAAAAGACTCACTGTAGTAACTTTTGTAACAGACATTTGATAAGAAGCTCCTGAACTAAGAAACGGTGACCCGCTTTCACTGCTGGTTTTGTTTGTACTCCTTTCTATCCGGATGAGAGACAAAAACAAGTTCTTTTGCATTGCCTGTCTATATACTTCAAAAGTCTACAGTATCTTTACCAAAATTTCTCTTTTAGTTAAGGAAGCGAGAAGAGAACATGAACAATTAACTTCAATCTGTTATTACTTACTCCAGGTATCTTCAGTGCATAAGGAAGTATAGAGCAATAGCAGAAGATGAAAACAATTCAAAGATTTGTCCTCAAACAAAAAAGTTGGGTACTCCTCAGTGCTTGTAAATCCTTAAAGAAGAATTTGGCTGATGGGGATTGGTGAGAAGAACAGGCACATGTGTGTAAAATAAGAATAATTAGGAGAAAAATGCTAATGAAGTTTACGTGTAAAGAGTGAAGCTCTCAATTAATCCATTGTCAGTCTTGTCAGATTCTTACACTTCTCACTTAGTTTCTGTTATTGTTGCCTATACAGAGCAAAGGTTTAGCAGTGGCAGACAGTTGCCTTCTCTGTAGCATCTAAGTGGATCAGTTTTTAAATACTGCATCCACCCTTGAAAATTCTGAGCGATGTCACAACAGAAGTTAAAACCTCAAACCCATTTAAGAAAAGGAAAAGCCTGGTATCTTTTTTGTTTGTTTTCATTTAAATTGGTTTTCTTTCTAAATCTTTGTGACCTGTGGGGAGAAAAAGCTAACTCCACAAAAAGAAAAAAACATCTCCTTTACTCCTGAGCAGTTTTAAAACAAAGCAGGGGGATAGGCTTTCTGTTCTTTCCTTTTAAGTGCAGGCTTACTTGGGAATACCTGACAATCTACACGTTATTTTAATTCTTTTTCTTAAGGCTAATTTTGTTTGCATTCTTCTTAAAATATTTTTTGAGGTGCAATAATCTAACTGCACATAGCCAAATCAGTGCTTCATGAAACTTGATATAGGTTTATTATCTTGAGGAGTAACATTCTTCCTTAGAAGATGAGGAGGAATTAAAGGAAGTGAGGAAAATATCATTTTGCAAATTTTGCTGCTTATTTGCGTAATAGAATGTGGATTTGGAAAACTAATTGTAGCTACCTGTTTTGAAACTTATCACACAAGGTTTTAAAATTATCTTAATAGTTTTACATATGTTTAATAAAAAGCATTTCCATATGAGACATGTATTCTCATCAGGACTTAATTTCATTTGTGCTGACATTTGTGACACATTAGATAATCTTTCTTAATCTCCTCTGAGTCAGTAATCACTTCTAGTTATTTTTGGTATGAAAAATAAACTCTAGTAGCTATAAAAATTTGCAAATCATTATTTGCAGCACTGACTTCCTAGGTAGCTTTGTTTAGTCAGAGAAGAAGAAATGCAGAGCTCAATTAAGTTGCTTCTTACTCCATGCCTGAATGATTGAAAAAAAAGATAACTGAAAAAACCTGATCTGAGAGAGAGCTCAGTAGTGCCTACTGCCACTTTAAGTCAGTTTATATGCATGGTCAATTTATACTGGCCTTGTACTGACAATTTAGAATAGCCTTGGTCTCCCACAGGTCCTGTATTGTTGATGTCCCTCTCGCTCACCCCCAGAATTGTGGTGATCCTGTTTATTAAGATGGATGTCTGAGAAGGCACTAGGTAGATTTGTTTGGTATATTCAGCCACTTGCATCCGACCCAACAGCACTGGAAACTGCTGTTAATGAACAGCTTGCTAGGAAATTTATTTGTAGTATTCATCCAAATACTGGCAACAACCACGTCAGTGCACGGATATCGTACAATGACTTGTTGAATTTTGTAAATAAGTTTCATTGTATGTGTTGTATTCATTGAGACAACATTAGCTCAGATAAACAACTTTGTTCTTCTGGAGGAGGAAGTATACAAATTACACTCAGTATTTACAAAGTACCTTAGTACCATTTGTCTAATTTTTATTGAAGAGTTAGTGGTGGTTTCAAAGCCAGTTTAGCATCCATATTCATCCATAATTGCAACCTTTTGAAATTTGCTTGTGTTTTGAATGGCTGCAGGCCTACTGGTCAGAAAATGAGTCCGTCTCAATCTTAAACCTAAACTTGATGAAGTAGCTCTATAGATTTCATATTATGCTGATCTATAAGTGGAAGATGACAAAAAGGATGGAACGCTGTGCATAGAGACCTATAGCATCGTCACCTGCATCTCCATGGAAAAGGTGCATATGAAGTACACAGCTCATGTGTCTAGGCAAATGTCCCCAAAGCTGAACCTCAGACACTCACGTTATTTCTGTGTTAGCATTTATGCAAACCTAGATAGCACTGCATTGGATAACTGGGTACTTAGAGCTTGCAAATGTATGCAAAACACAATTTATTTAATGAAAAAATACACACCAGAGAATAAATTTGAATAGATTTTTCACTATTTTTTCTGATAGGTATTCTGAACATGTGCTATAGATTGCTTAAAAAATTTTTAACTGTGAAAAAGTACATAAGGAACATAAGCATGCATGAGCTTGCATGTGACACGCTTTAGCACGCTTGCAGATACAAAGAACTTCTGGCATTGTGGGGAGGCACAATGTTATGTACATTGTGTGGGAGGATACACCATGCAGATTTGATTGCATCATCTTGCTCTCTTTTTGATTTTCTTTTCTTTTTTCTTTTCTTTCTCTCTCTCTCTCTCTCTTTTTTTTTTTTTTTTGTTCCAGATGGTAAAACAAAGACTGCAGTGAAACCTGTTTTCTCCCAGAAAAAGGTGGGAGGGAATTTTATATGAGCAAGAAACTTTGCCTCAAGTCAAAATCCGGGGTCTGGACTAATGAACTACCTGTAGTTCATATTGTACTATATTGCTGAAACTAGGCATGTACTAATCATGAACCATGCCAAACTATGCATAATTACCATGCTTTCTCTGTAGCAGTAATTAATTTGCGTTAGCAACTTTGATTAATCTTTCTAATCTAAAAGCAAACATAAAAGCTATAGAACTGCTTAGGGTTGTTATTGCTGCCAGTGAAGGGTGTTTCAACCCAGAGGGGAGCAGGAAGGGGACAAAATTAAAATCAGTTTGATGGTGTTTATGAATTAACAGGAACATCGATATTTAAGGAGTGCTGTTCTGCCACAGAATTCATAGTCTAAACTGTAGGATTCTGTCTACAGTGCATTCTCCCAGGAGAGTAAAAAAATAATAGAGAATCATCTTTAATTTAGAAAGAGAGCTGCTTTGAGGGCTGTTTCACAAAGATGATGTGCCCGCTACAGAATGAGATTCCATCCTTCAGAGGGCAGTGCCACGTATTTATAGTTTCAAATGTTGCAGTGCAAACCTGCCCCCAGATTTCGGCCTTAATATGGAGGACAGCATTGTTCTAAGGCAACTATCAGATGCTAATGTACGAACTTGATTTTGACATCACTTGAGGTGAAAGTTTCCATGCTTTGTTGCCAAACTCTTGGCCCAAGACAGACTCCTTGTCCAAAAGAATCCAAAACTGAAGCTATGTAGTCAAAGTTATTGTGATTTCTCTGTGCTTCCTAAACTAATACTTGGCTATGAGCTAGTACAAAAAGTAACATTTCAGAGGCAAATAGATGTGTTTCTACAAATGCATTATGAATTCCATAGGATTTATAAGTTAACCTTGTGTTACTTGTTTCTACCTCAGATATGCTAGTATAAATATATATGTTATTTTCTCCTGTTTCCACTGCTAGCACTGTTTCCTGGCACAGAGAACTGCTGCTCGCAATTCAGCATAAGGAGAATGATGTGATATTCATTTGGAAAGGGATGTCAAGAGATTACTGACCGATTTCAGTTTCCTTTTTAGAATTAAAAAAAAATACTGCTGTTATCTCAAAACCTGGGATCAACTCTGTTTCTGCAAGTTAGAGAAATATTTAACAATTACATCCTTGTTAGAAAATGCAAATGTGTTTGCTAAAAGTTATATTTTTTAATGATGCCAGTCTAAAAGGGAATTATTTCTGACAGTCTGCTTTCTTAGAGTTGTGGTTTGTGTCCAAATATTTAATAATCACAAAATTACTCTTCTGATGTCAGTTAAAACAGACAATATATACTGATGTTGAAGCAAGCTTTGTCAAAGACATTTTTTAAACAGGCATGGGACTTTGCATTTATTAGAAGGTGCTCACAAAAATAGGGTAACATCATGCATAGTCTTTGCAACTAAAATCAGTTATGGTTACAGTTTGTAAATAAATTTAAATAGACATATGGAGTACAGTAGTACATATACACTCTATTTATGACATTAATTTAGTGCAATGATAACTCAGCAATACATCAGAAGTCTACAGTCAGCTGATGGAAAGATTGTATAAGGAGGAAGAAAGTGCTTCAGTTTCTCACGCTATTTATGCAGCTTGACAAGAATGTCAGTGTGAACTGCCTCCTGAACTTGGGAGGCAAGAACAAATCAAGACTACTTTTGCAGTACAAAACATTTACACACAAAATACACATGCATTGCAATGCATTGGAAATGGGTAAAGCAAGAAGAAACCCATAACTCAATGCTTTATTAACACAGATCTACAAAGAAGTCTCAATTAGGATAATATAGTCAGTCACAGTAAGGCCACAATATTACAATAGATAAGGACTTCAGAATTTGGCATTCTGTTTTCATAATAGAACTCTACCTTGTTTATCACTACATATGTTCCCAAATGGTATTTCATCAAAGTCCTTCTTCTGTGGGTTTTTTTGTTTGTTTGTTTCTTTTTGTAAGTTTAACATATTGCTTAATACAACAGTTAGCACAGGAGAGAAAGGTACTGTCACAGGGGAAACGAAACCTATGTCACATTCACGTAGTTTTTAGACTATATGCTGTGTGCATTTAGATGAAGCTGGCTAATCAGAAAAAAGACTAGCAAAGGATTTCCTCAAGTTTCGAATAGTTTCAGCTTTTGCTTCATCTTCGTTCACAGATGATCGGAAGAAGGATGATTCTGTGAAACTGAAGGCATTTGTCAAGGACTGCGACTTGCTGCAAGACAAAAACGCAACATGTTTGGTATGGTCATATTGTCTATCAACTTCCATCCACATATAACTTGTAAAAATTAGCAGAAAAGGAAAAATGGCTGTGAGACCATTTCCACTTGAGCAAACTGAATATTCAACACAAGTAATACGGTTAGATATAGCACACAGAGTTGCTGCAATAAAGCGTATTCCTTCTGTTCTTTGATTTGTGAAGTAGGACAGTCTTTTATTTAGAGAACACACTGCTTTTTTACATATCTGAAACAAAGTAAATTGGATGACATAAATTAGAACTTATGGCGAATCTGAGCCTGCCTACTAAATCCAACTCACTACTAACATGGCATGATGAGAGCTCAAAGAATGAGACCAGAGTTGTAATGTTGTCCATTGCTGCATGTTAGATAATGGTCAAACTTAATGACAACTTTTTTCTTTGAACAAATTCCCCAAATCAGGTATCACTTTGCTTCTCTGTTAGCAGTTAGTCCCGTAATCCTATTCTGTTTTTAGTGCTATCATGTACACGTGGTTTAACTTTCTGCAAGCATGAATAAAATAACATACAAGAAAGAAAATGTCTGAAGTTTAAAACTAATTCAGGTAAAACAACATTTAAAAGATAGGTTTGAATTTAAATATAAAACAATCATGAGTTATAATCTTTTTATGAAAATATCCATGCACTTATATATTGATTTCATTTTTCTCTCAGTACAATAATAGGATTTCAGTTTTGGCTATAGTGAAACGTTCTCCTTATTGAGGTTATTTTATACTCCCCATGGTTTGCAACTTCTCTATGTCTGTACAGCAAACAGTGCTACAGGCGTTTTAGGTTTTTTGTAAATTATAGTTGTGTTAATGAGAATAGACTGATAAATGTTTGTTTGTACTCACTGAAAGAGGGAGGGTGGGAAGCAGCACTTGACTTGATTAGTAACACAATAAGTGGCCTAATTAAATATTTATTCACAGATTAATAACATGTACATACAGGTTAGGCAACAGCATGTGGGTGAATACAAAGTATGCACATGCAAATAGAGTTAATCCTACAGGCAGGAGATCTGAGTCTTGGTGCAGACCTAAAAGTTCTTGAAAGTTAGAAAAACTACACTTACATTGTTTGCATCTTAAAAATTGAACTCATTCTATTTTCTTTTATATAGAGACTACTTTTCCATTTGAGGAAAAGAAGAAAGCTGGAAAAATGTATGTGGTACAGTGTTTTTCATATCAGAAATGAACAAATGAAGTTTCAAACTAGTTTATGGTTTTTCATCTAGCTTAAGAAAATGGAGCTGTCTATTCTCTAGATAAATAATAGATGAATCAATCTATTGTTATAAAACAAAATGAAGAAGTATACCGTCCCAGGAATGCAAGAATACACTTTCTTCAGAAGCAAATATGCTTAAGCTTTTTTGACTATTGTTTTAATCTGCGCACCCTCTCATCTAACAAGGCTGTTTGGCTGAATTGTGTTCAGGGGAGGACTCAGAATTGCTTCACACCAGTACAAGCATGTGAGTTGGTGGAAAGGGGAAATCTGCACTATGAAAAAAATGATGGCTTTTTACTCATCAAAACAAGTCCAATGTTACCTGTGACTCTACTGGCAGTAGAGTCGGAATCAATATGTTGAAAAACAGCAAATCACTGCTAACACCCTCTCCATGTTTTCCATTCACTAATTTAAAGCTCTATGAGGATGTATGGCTACAGATCCTGTGCACACTCTTTACTGCAGCGTGCAGCTGGCTGTACAGCGCGACAGGCTCATGCTGTGCAGGAGGGAACCTTCCAGCAGTGCGGTGGCTACAGGCAGGTGTCTGCGCCAGTCCTGCTGACATCTCTAGAAAGGCTCTGAGTGACTTGTGCTGTACAGACAGTAGCAATGTGCACCATGACCAGAGCGTTACTGTGAACACAGTTTGACAGCTTGTTCCTTTGGGCTGTTTCTGAGATAGGCCTTTTGAAACCGAAATCTGTTCTTTTGAGTGACTGCAAGGTTAAAAGTTGAAGCAGATAAGACTTCCTCTTTTCTGTGCAGGCGAACAGCACACCCAGATCATGAGTCAGTGACATAAGAAGGAAGGCAAAGAAACGAGAACGATCAAGAGTTTTCACATCAGATCTAGTTGGGGCATAAGTTGCACAACTGATGAAATCTTGTATAGCACAGGATGTAACTAATGCTACTCTAATGATAAACCGATAATAAGCCTTTTGAAACCTCAGTTTAGACTGGGCAGCGTATGTACATCTCCGTATGAATGTCAGACCGGCTCTCAAATTACAGTTTCAACAACAAAATGTAACTGTTCTGAGCAGACCAGGAAAGTGATAAAGCAAATCTTACTTAAGCTGTGGGTGAGACTGAGGCTTCTGCTGCGGCGCGGGCTGCGGGGCGGGCTGAGGCGCAGGCTGTGGCTGTGGAGCAGGCTGTGGTTGCGGTGCAGGCTGTGCCTCTGCCTCCTTTTGTAATCGGGTGCTGGAAGGACCTTGAGCCTGGGCACGTGGCTGCTGGGTCGTAGGTCCGGGTGGACGCTGTGGCTGGGAAGTGGAGGGCTTTGCTGACTGCCCAGGGGGGTACATGCGCTGTGGCTGCAATGGCTCCTGGCCTTGTGATTGCATTCCTTGGGGTTGCACTGGGCCCCCTAGGTTCAGCACAAGAAAAACTTCATAATGTTATAGTATCAAAGAGCTCTTATTAGATTCATATCCAACACTTTAAAATAATCCTTGAATGTGATAATTACACTTCTGAGGCAAAATTCTATGGAATTCTATGCACTGCAGCTTAACGTAGTCAATTCTACAATTTACAGTTGGTACATTAGAAGCTTGCTTGGAGCATCCATAAAAATTACTAAGTCCCAGATTTATCCCAGTGGTAACCCTACTGCTTTCAAATTAGTCAGTGGAGTTACAGCCACTATAATTTTGGCCCAGCTAAAGAAGAGGCTGTGAGAGAATTGCATACACCAACAGAATCCAGTTCAGCAACACAGCTCCTATTTTCTGTGTAGTTATTACAATTTTATTCCTCCAAAGCACAGAAGTTATTTTTGTAATATTCCTCTTAAATTCATTCTTACAGCAACAAAACTAATTTAAAATTGTTCGATAACTTAACTCCTTATTGAAGTACATGAAGAACATTACAAGAAAGGAAAGACAATCATTACTGATTTTTTACCAAGTAGATCTTCCCACTGAGAAGGAATTATGCTGAAAAAATACTGTAGCAAGTGTGAAATTACCACTTGTGGTAGAGAGCTAAGTTGTGAAATCTGTGGCTGAAAGATGCTACATCATCAGTGAGGACTTTTCTTTTTACTGCTTTCTGCCTGAAATAGTGCTGTGTCAGATATCAGTGGTTACGCTGCTTTTATCTCTTATGAGACGTCTGAATGTGGTTTTCTTGGCTGACAGTTGTCAGAAAAAACTTTATTCTTGCACATGACTAAGCACGTGGGATGTAAGAGTTAAGGGGAGGAAGGGACAGGATGGAATTCTGAGAGACTAGTTTGCATAACGCTTCAGTCAGGGAAAAAGCTTTGTTGAATGGTAAATATTATACAGTGTTCTCAATATTTGGGAATTCCTACTCTTACACGTCTATTAAGTGCAAGTAGAAGACTTCACCTACTTGCGTCTCTATGGAGAAAATCTGCATATCTGGAAATAATGTTGCGATTCGTGATTAAAAAAAGAAATTGCTATTATAGTTTTCCACTTACTATATGAGATTCCAGTGTATGTGTCTGAGAACAGCACGTACCAATGCTTCAAGAAGTCTTAGTACAGTTACAGCAGTGTTTTGTGGTGTAGAAAGATAAATAGCACGTACTGTATGTTAAGGAATGTGCCTTCATCGTGTGTTAATTTTAACCACTTTTGTAGGAAATATTTGAAGGTGATAACATGGTCTTGCAACATCTTAATAAGGATCATTTTCTTATTAGTCTCCTTTCACTCAATATTGAAAAACAGAAAGGTTTCTTTCCCCCACTTGTATATACAGGCTTGAATGCCAGAAACTTTACACTGAAGACAGATATAACTTTCTTTTATTGCACATTAAGCTGTACAAGATATTTCACATAAAAGATATACTGCTGTCACACTTCCAGCATTTGCTCACTTTCTTGCAGCTGGGTTGTACAAAAGGCAACAATCATGAAAGAAATTTTTACCAAAAATAACAAAACTGAACATTAAGCCTACACTGTAAAACATCTGTTCCCTGTTACCACAATATTGCACCTAAGCATGCTTACATGCAGAGAGACATTTTGGCTTGCTTCTTGTCTGTAGTATGTAGCAGTAGTGTGTGCCCTTGTAAATCCTTTACAGTCAATAAGCTGAAATCCTCTCTGAAACACTCATCTCTTCTTTGCACACACAGCTCACAAATGTCGTGTGAAAAGCACTTGTGAATACTTGTACTACTACATGCAAAAAAATACCAGCTGCTTTAAATAAAATCAATCATCAGATTCATTTCTTCACCCCAGGGCAGTATGGTTTATTCTCTTTTATGGTGTCTGGAGGTAAGGATCTGTGAACCTGACTTTATGTGGAATTTTCTTAATATACAACAGAATAGTCAATGCCATCATGGGAATGATCACTGACCCAGACAAGTGCCGATCACTAAAGCAAAATATTCATGTAAGTTACCAATAGGTAGTAAACACTACACACACTGAAATAGCTAATAATGCATACCTTAGTTCTCATCTTACCAGATTGTACGAAGAAAAGAAATGCTAAGAATGATGATTTTCACTGATAATTTTTTTTCCCAGTGTTTGCAGGAAAAACAGAAGAACATAAAGCTGTTTTCTCTTTAAACAATTGTTCACACTAAACTAACAGCTGCTCATCTTTGTACGTCTTCTAATTTCAAATTAGAGCTCCGTGGCTCGTTCACAACAAAGTTTTATGGTATGCTAGCATTGTGCAGCTTGTGACTCTTGGCTAGAGTCCTCGCAGCAGATAACTGCCCACTTGTGA